ATCAGTGGACCAGCGTGCGCAACGTGGCGTTGACTTTTATCCGCATAGGTATATACACACCCACCCATATATAATGATAAGAGAAAAGGACTATATATATATATATATATATATATATACATACACCCTTGTACACACGCGACGAGGTGAACATATAATTTATATATACATACATACGCATCACGCACACCTGCAAATAAACGTTCGAGACGATGTTGCATATTGTACGTTGTTGGGAGTCATCGCTTCTTACGAGGGATAAGTATAAAAGAGAAGCGCGCATCGCGTCGCACGGGGAACGTATTTTCCGGACGGAAGAGAAAATGTTGATGCAAACGACAGAGAAGAACAAGAAGAAGAAGAAGAAGAAGAAGAGACGGACAGCTCTTGTTTCTTCTTTTTTTTTGGTTTTTTTTTTTTTTTTTTCGTTACTGTCTTCGTACTTTTGCGCAAAACATAAATATTACGTGCGTGCGTGCGTGCATTGCTATATGATGTACAATATTGTTGTCACGTCCGAGAGGAGGGCGCGCGTGTACGTATTTTTCCGCGATGAAGTGGCGGTGACGAGGACGACGAGGTAAATAAGCTATAAAGAAAATTTAGGAAAAACAAATCTGTTATATATATATACACACATTCACTATATATATATACATATTTTTGTCGCGGAGGAATATAATAAAGTCGGGCGAGTTCGAACCGAAGCGTTGACGCGAGAAATATTGATGAAGAAAGAAAAAAAAAAAAAAAAAAAAAAAAAAAAAAAAAAAAAAAAAAAAAAAAAAAAAACAAAAAAAAAACGCGCTCTTTACTTGTCTTTTCCAGCAGTCTTCCTCATCACATGTCGGTATCGAACAGCACGCCTCCGCCCTCGACGTCGCCGATACCCGTGAAAATCAAGAGCGAGCCCATCAGTCCGCCCCGAGATCNGATAAAAAAAATACATCTATATAAGACCATACGTTGTGTGCAGTCAAAAACACTTTTTTGGATTGCCCGAATATCAAAGAAAGTTATCAAAGAGGGGCAAAGTGCATGAGTTGCATTTTATCGTGGGAGCGAATTATAGGTACACATAAATACACCCACTTATCTCTGTGAAATCGATGGAAGTATGACCGATCGATCGTCCGACTGCATGTACATTTTTCACGAGTATTTTGCACATTTGATATTAAAGAAATAAACAAATATGTTGAAAAATTAAATAAAGTTGAAATAAAACCAAAACGCTCTTGGATTACAGTAATACCCTTTTAATGCCTATAACAATATTATTAACCAACTAAAACGAAAAATAAATTTGAAAAATCATTTTGACGAGGGCTTGTCTCACAAGTATGTGTCGATCTTTTAAATGTCTGTGAAAAATTTTGCGATTAAGAGAGTGTACGATTTTTCTGACCATTGGCTATCGATGTTAGTATTTATACATAAACATATTATATGACTTGAAAAATTTGTTAACTAAATCTAATAACGCCTTTGAATAAAAAAAAAAATATATATATATATATATATGTATACATGTAAAATAGTGACGAAATAAATAATCGCGTAAACTACAGATTTAAACTTGAACTCGGATCAAGTTACAAAGTCAATTAGTGCTATCGCCGTACCGACAGATATCAGTTTCCATGTCGTCTCGGTAATGGGAAACCGATACAAATACAAGCCGAAATTCATGCGTCCGGCCAAAGCTCAAGCCTCACTTGAACGATGCACAATTAGTGCCATTTTTGTTATCCATGGATTTTGTAACCCACGTGCCAAACGACTCCTATCTTTTCTGAGCTGCTTCGAGGGTCTGTTTTGAAGTTTCAAGGAAAAAACCAACTTTTTGTGCAAGTTTTTAAGCCAGTAAGTACCAGTATACACACACGTCGGGCGTAAGTAAAAGTTTCCGTGAATTTTACTCGCGAATCACGAAGCGCCGTCGGTTATTTTCCTCGGCCAAACCTAATGCACCTCTCGCATCTTCCGCGTACCTCGAAGAGAGGAATAAAAAAAATTCGGAGCAAAAAAAAAAAAAAACATATCTCGCAAGTAGGCGAGTACCCGGCGAGTATTTTATATTATACGCTCGCCGAATAACTGATGGCGCCCGGCTGCTGGTCCGTTGTCACCCGAAGGTCGGCCGGTAGATGTATAAACTCTCATGCGGCTGCTGCTTCTCGCGGTTTGTCGTTGGCCGAGAAGGCTAGTGGAACTCGTTTTTACCTTTGCATAATTACATGCGTAAGTATATGAGAAAGGTTTCGTTACAACGAGCGCAGGTTTCGATGATATCGTACAGATACGGTGCCGAGTCGACCAAAATTTTTAATATAACGCGAGACCTTCTTTCCCCCCCCCCTCCCTTGGGCTCACTATTATCATTGTTGCCATAATTTTTTTTTTTTTTTTTTTTTCATCTCGATAAGCATAATGCCAGGTAGCGAAGTATACGATTCTTTGTTTGTCGACGTCTCATCTCTCGCTTTTCACTGTTTCTAAAATAATTGACCATCGTGCAGTGGTTGGGTTGTATTTTTAACGTACGAAAACCTACGACAAAAGCTAATCGGAGCTGCAAAAAAAAAAAAAAAAAAAAAAAATAACCATCGAGAGTTTATTAATAATGCATGCTTAATTGTCGTGTCCTAAAATATGTATTTCAAAACACGTTTGTCAACTACGCTAATTATAAATGCACACTTGGATAAACGCTGTACAGTTAACTACTGTACGGATGTATGTGTACATGTAAGTATAGATACGTGTAAAAAAAAAAAAAAAAAAAAAAAAAGTACGGTAATGAACTGTGATTGTTTTATATGCTTATTATGTTGAAAGAAGTATGAAAGCCAGTGGGATACAATCTCCGGGGTTTTTTAACGAAATGTTGAAAAGAAACTGGTAGTGTTGAGGGTGTCGGTGTTGAAGTATCTGGCGCCTATTGCTGGTAGAGTGGGTTTTTATCTCTCGTATTAAATCGAGATTTTACTTGCATACTGTAAAAAAAAAAAATCCTTTGAAAAAAGTCTATTGAGGTTCGCAAAACTTCCAAAGTAAGCAAACAAAAAAAAAGAAGCGATTTCGAGTCGTCCAATGGCTTTGGGGTAATTTTTGTAGTCGTGTATAATGACTATCTAAGCCCCGCAAAGTTGCCCAACAGCCTCGAAAAGTCATTAAAAGAAAATTTGACAAACTTTGAAAATCATTAAGAGTCATGTATTGTACGGCTCGAAATGTATTGACGTATACGAAAGCGTAAAGCTAAATTTTGGAAATCGTGCTTTTTGTTACAGAATCACTAACATTCCATCCAGAGATTCGACGGATCTATCTTTAAGCCAAAAACCAAAAAAAAAAAAAAAGCAAAGGAAAAACTGACGGTCAAAATGGGTCGAAAAAAGATACAGATTTCCCGCATCACGGACGAGCGGAATCGTCAGGTAGGTGTAAAAAAAAAAAAAAAAAAAAAAAAAAAAAACAAAAAAAANATATATTGAGTTTTATAGAGGAAAATGAGATGATACAAGAAAATAAAAATGTTGTTTAATAAAGAAAGTTTTAAAAAGATCCGCAGTGGTTTTTTTGTGAGTGGCTGGGGAGATAATTTTGTCCGTCTCTGGTGTTGATTGAAAGAAAAAAAAATAAAAGAATTTGAATTTGCCAATGAAAAATGTTGTTGCTTGAAATTCTACAAAGTCTATTCGAGAGAAAAAACAGGGTGTTATAATTATAGAATGTAAAAAAAAAAAAGTGTCGTTAGTTATTAAAAATGCCCAAGTGCGTCTGACCGTCAGCGTCAATATTTCTTTTTATTTTCGTACATAGGTATACATTGAAAAAAAAAAGAAGAAGAAAAAAAAAATTGATGCGACTAGACAATTTCGTGGGGCAAAGAAAAAAAAAACGAAGAATGAAATCTCGTTATTTTTTATTGCGCCAGAGGATGATGAGGTACGTACTATTGTGGTATAAATACTAAGTACTGGGATTAAATATATATGAGGTGGTAATTTAGGTGAATTTGATGGATGGTTTTTCTTATGCTTCGAGTACACTCTCTTTTCACTAGAGGCAATTTGGTTGATGTTCAATCCCAACAAACGAGAAAAATGAGCCAAGCCAATGCATATGGTACAACGTATATATAATACTTAAAATATTCATATACATATTTCCGTTATAGTGACGATGAAATGAAGTGAAGAAAAAAAAAAATTAGAACGAAGCGTTTTGTTTAAAACTAAACAAGAGTGAGAATAAATATAACAATATCTTTGTAGATCGTAAAATTATGCAGAAAAAAAATTCGTTAAATGTTAAACATATAAACAAATAAATAAATAAATGGGCATGTACATACACACGACGATCTATAGGACTCACGATTAAGGTATAAAAAGTTCAATGTATATCTGCGTACACGCATATATTTTTAATATGAAAAAGAAAAACAGTAAAAAGGCGCACGTATACCCAAAAGGATAAATAAACCGCACAAGCTGACCGAAATGTTATCAGTTTCACAGCTTTTATCGTCTTCTCCTGCTACTTTGCGCTCAAACTGTACGTCTATAGGTGGAATGTCTTTAAATCCCTCGAAAATAAAGCGCATTTCGGGTCAAGAATAACAAACGAACAAAAAGCTATAGGATTTCGCGCACGACGTGGATGAAAGAAAAGGGGTCGCGCTCGAACGCGTACTTCAGTCCACTTGTACTGTCTTACAAACACTATGGGATACAAAAGATGATTCTTTGGTGGATCGAATTTTCTTTTGTTCCATTGATTTTTTTTTTTTTTCTATTAATCATTTGGCTACAGAGCTTCGGTGGATGTGTAACATGTGTCGCTGCTTTTTTCTATGTCTAGATGCAGATTGGTTAAAAAAAAAAAAAAAAAAAAAAAAAACAAAAAAAAAAAAAAAAAAA